TTTTATATATATTTTTTGTAATATATTTGTAAATTAAATATTTATTTGCGAACCAATGTGCTTCAGTTTCATGTTTGAGGTGTGTTTTGAGAGCTCAGGTGTGTCAAGGGTGTTTTCAAGCCAGCACATGGATTCGTAGTGTGCGCCTGAGCATGCAAATATTTACATATACATATTTATTTATATTTATATTATATACAGTTTTCAGCAGTTGTGCAGTTTTTTACAACAAATATAAACAAATTCCACGGCACAGAAGCTCATAAATAAATGTGTAAAAAAATGTTTTGGGTATCAACTCTGATTGCTTACTAAGCCTTAAAATGAACTCTTTGAGATAAGATAAAAAAAAAAAAAGAATTTTGTAATACTTGTTTTTTTAAATATTTTTTTTATTCTGAATGTCAACTGTTGCTGCTGATAAGAAGAAACGGTATATATGTTATGATTGGAGGCCGTTAAAAGGTCTGTCCACTAAGTGGACAAGGCAAAACATTACTTTTAAGAAGTATCCATGGCAATAGCCAAACTAATATAATGGAATTCAGTTTGCATCTGCAAATATCATAAATCTATAAAAAATGTAAGTAAACATATTTGCATTAAATATGCAAACTCAGATAAAGTAAAATACAAATGCTTATCGTAAAGCTTTAGCGGAATGCGTATACCACATATTAAGCATATCGGCAGCATTATTTATATTATTTCAATGAACTATTCATATATTTTTATTGATTTGTTGTCACATTCGACTCAGAATATTTATCTCATTTATATTTATCTAAAATAAAAATAGTTAAAGTAAAAGAAGTATTATTTAATATGAAAAAAAAAAAAAAAAAATACTATTGGAATACGATGTATCTCATCGTATTCCAATAGTATTTTTTTTTTTTTGAGTTTAGAAATTTATTAATATGCAAAATCATAGCATACTTTTAGGCTTAACCGAAATCATATCGAAAGTTATTTCAAATTAACAGAAAAATGGTTGACTTCAATTTGTTTTTATTAAAAAAAAAAGAGAAGTTTCTTTCAAATATTTATTTGGTTATTATAGCTTAAATCTAAACAAAAATTTAGTATGTATTAATTGTTTTTAAATGAAATCAAAAATTGGGCTTAAATCAGTTTGAACCAATAAATTAAAAAAAAAAAATAATGTTTAATAA